TCAAATTAGAAAATACGAAAAGTTGACCGTGCTTTTCCCGGAATTCGAATTTTGGATATGGCGATTGCTCTATGGATTCATTAAACCTTGACCCAAGAACATCCGTCAAAGAATGTGATAATGCTTTGAAATATTATGTCTTTTAGCAGCCAACGCATACTTAAAAATGTTATATAAACATGCTTTTAAATATAAGAAAGATTACTTATAAATTAATTTATACAATTTAATACTCTTCATTCGGGTCGTTATAAAATTTTCTATTCACTTTCTTAATATCTCACTGAAATTCATAAAGTACTGTCTCATTTATTTAACAACCAACCATATTTTTTCTGTAACTTTATATTCTAGATGAGAGCTGAAAATTAACAACTGATTTATTCCTTTCTCCGCAGCAAATTGACAATACCCAAAACGACATCTAGGAAACATATTTCTCTCTAGGGAGGAAAACACCTGTTCCATTCAGGTTATGAATGGCAAAACACCGTTTTCTTTCCCTGAGGGGGTAGGAAGAACTAATTAAATACAGTGCAGCTGCTGTCAACTTGGGGAGGGGCGAGATATTTCGGTCTTTGAATGGTCTCAAACGTTATGAGATTCAGCGCTTTAGGGTGTTTAGGAATGATAAGGAAATAAAAGGGTTAGACAATTGCTTGCTTCGAAACGCAGAAATTAGCTGATCGCTAGAGGGCATTTGCGTGCAGATGAAAAATGATGCCAAGTTTAAGCAGGTATAAACTAAAAATAATGCTGCTATTCATTTTATAGTAGCGTTATATTAAAATATTCTTCTTTGTGCTTTATTGAAATAATAATAATAAATATGAATTTTAAAACACCCCTTTTTTATATGGTGGTTTCAAATTAACAAAAATGTGTTAGAATATAAGGAACAATTCCGAATAATTCCGTACTAGGTAAATCATATATTAAGCTAGAAGCATACTTTATTTTTTATGAATTATATATTTTAATTTACATCAATTATAAAAATTATTAAACGAATAAAATAATGGTTTAAGCCATTGCATTTAATTATCTTGAATTGTTCAGTTTATTAAGCAATCACATATCAATTAAATTCAAAAGGTAAATTAAAGATCTTACCTGTTACTGAATGGCAATATTCTGAGAACTGTTTGTGCATTAAACACGAAGATTTCCTGGTTCCACTTTATTCCGTGTTTAGTGTGCTGGCTTGCACGACGTGTTCCGGCTCTCTCAATTACTGCCTTAAAGATACATGACCATAATATTATCTGTACTATGATGCCGCAAAGGCTAAGGAATTAAAGATTGAAAAAGGGGTGTGACCATTGTCACACGAGTACTAGCCAGACATTTGGTTGGTAGAGATATTCAATTTCTTCTGAGAATTCTAAGTAATGTGATCTGCGATTAGTCTGATTGGAAGCAAAGTTCGATTTCGCCTGAATTTCATACAAAATCAAGAAGTCCCTGTCAGTCTTATGGCTGAACGCTGTTTCGGTTAAGTAGGACGCTGTTCGGCTAGCAATTACCTTCCAATTGCGGTCGCCCATGCAGCAGAGGCCTAAGTCAGGATGAGTCTTATATAAAGTCTTAATCTGCCATAAAGTAGTCTCCTTTTGGCTAAGTTATCTAAAGAGTTTGTCAGTTATGGGATACAGGAAATTTATGACATAAGGGGCTTTTTTTCCGCACATAACGGACATGATACTTCCAAGTGAATTGCTGTTTGAGAATTATTCCAGGGACTTGGCCTATGTTTCTGTCGTGAGAAGTTTATCAAATAGAAGAAGATTTTTGATGATGTAGCTTTTCTCTTTTTTCGCTTGACCAGAAGAAGCTGGGATATCTGTGCACTTATACAGATTTTCCAGCATTGGCACTAGTTCTTCAATAAGCGGGGTTTTCATTTTTGCAACTTCCTGATGGAATGATTGACGTTAGCCGGCTTAATACTCAGGCCGTATCGATGGCGTTACAAGCAGGCATCGAAATGAAGCTAGAAATAAATTTGAGGAAGTCTGCAGCGTAAAATAGATACAATATTGGGCCGATAATTGCCAACTTGTTGGTACTTCTGCGTTGACTGGAGTATCTTCCGAAATAGAATTGCCCACCCTAACTTATAATGAGTAGTTTGTCACGAAAGTTAGTCACACGAAATTCAGGTCAATAAGTTTATAAATGAGCCACATCAGGTCGGAGCTCCCTGATAACCCCCCTCGTGTCAAAGCCTTTGTGCACATCATGCTTGAGGACAGTAACATTAAGCTTGTAGTGCAGGGCCGCTTTGCACCCTTGTGAATTTCTTTGCAGTAAACATTTGCTGGTGGAAGCAAATGAAACCCGAGTTTCACCCTTGGTAAGATATTTCTCTCAAAATTTTCCTTCGCCTAGCAAAATACTAATCTGTCCATAACCCTCAGGCTTACCGTAATCCTTATTAGGTTAGCGTGAAGAAGAAAACTTAAACGACTTTTAATTTAGCTCAGTTGACAATACTTTCCAAGGTTAGTGGATGATATGACCATGGTACAATAACGACTTGTGATATAAGAGTCCCCAATCGGGCCGCACTGCCAGTGTTTAATTAGAGCTCGGTCGATGGAGGATGGAAGATCTCTTGAGATAGTCTAATGATATGGGTTGAGAAATATAGTAAAGAAAACAGAAGATACTGTACACTAGTAAACACAAAGCAAGCTTAATTATGGCCTTAAATGTTTGATAAAGAAGTGGAATTTAATAGAGTGCTATTGTGAAAAATTATGATTAAAATATCAGTGAAGAAAGAAATGTAATAAAATGTAACAATTGTACTATAAGTATTAGAAGGCTCTTTTATTACTTCCAATATTGTTGAAAATTTTCATAAAAATTATAAATGAGGTATATCATAAATCAAATGCACTTATTGTAACAGGTTTTATAACAGTAAGAGATATTATAGCAATGACTTAGTAGCCATCTATCTATACGAATAATTCTATTTATGCATGAAACTAGATTAGAAAATAAGCTGCATGCTAAAGCTATATCTGTACTAAGATGTTAACAACTTCTTCTGTTAACTAGACTTCTGATGTAAAAGTTTTATGCATGAAACTAGATTAGAAAATAAGCTGCATGCTAAAGCTATATCTGTACTAAGATGTTAACAACTTCTTCTGTTAACTAGACTTCTGATGTAAAAGTTTACTAAAATTGTCATTTAAATATAAACTGCATGAATACAACAGAATAATACACAAATTCTAATACACAGCAATATATGAGATAAAAATAAATATATGATGCTGGATAAAAATTTGACTACCAGAAAATTAAAAATCTCGAAATATGTATATATGCAGTTAGAATTTTTATTAGTTATGAAAGTGCTGCAGATGTTCATAATTATCATTTGGATGCATTGCATATTAATAGGGGTTCAAATTATGTAAGTTAGGGAAGTAATTATAAAACCGAATAAGTATTTAAATGTTTAATATCAAAATATGGGTTCCGTAAGAAAATTAAATAATCTAAAAATAACCTTACTAACTAAGAATTGGGAAAGTAAATAACAGATTAATAAGACTTATACAATAGAACTGGTGTGAATTTAGAAAGGTTTAACAAACCGAATTTTTTAAATTTAATAAAGTGAATTTTTTAATTAAATTATCACTTTTGAAATAAAACACTAAATTTAAAATATGATAAAACTATTATACTATCTAAGAGGATTTTTAATACTTATCTAGGAAAGAAAACTAATACAAACTCTGCTACAAATTAATAGTTATCTTTTTCCCAAATCCAAGAACTGAGAGGATAGTCATTTACATGAAAAATTAACTTAGTAGTTTTTTTTTTTTTTTTTTTTTTTTTTTAATGTCAAACTTATATTTATATATAATCAGCTTAAAACTATGCCCAACAGCTAAAAGCGATGACTTAGTTTGTAGGAATATTTTGAATTCCTGAATAGCGCCAAAAATTTATTATATATAATTCTTTTAAACATTATAAAAGCAGAATATGATCTTTAATAAAAAAAATATTTTTATTTTAGCGCATAACTATAATATTTCTTGCATGCACACAGTTTTCAAAATATCAGAACCATGAAAATAACGATCTGTATGAGTAGTTTCCACCAAATGTACCATTTATAAGGACAACACTGCGATTTTTGAGAATTCAAGATTTTAGAATACAGGGCAAGGCAAAAACAAAGCCCTGCAATTCTCGGTTTATTATAGCATTTTTTTTTTTTTTGTTTATCCTTGTCTGTTAAGTTGGGTATGAAAAAGTTGGCTATTGTTCTTTGGAATCGTGCGTTTGGCATTTTGATAAGACCCTTTTTAATCAAATTTCATGCAGCTGGTACATTAACCATAGCACATTACATTTGATAAAATAAAATATTAGCGAAATGCATTGTACGCTACACTGTACCTATAGAGTGAGCTGTTTCATTCGTCTTCTGTTCCGTATGAAGTTAAGGATTTCTGACAGTTAAGGATTCTGACGATTAAGTGTACTGAGTTAAGGATTTTAAGTTAATTCTGAAGAGACGCTAGACTAGCTAAAAATCTCTGTAGAGTGGAATCACGAACGTTATATTTCGTTAACAACTTGGTTCACGAACAAATTATTTGAGCAAAACATGATTTGGTTATCGAAAGATGTCTCCAGTTATGAACACTCAAGTCAGCATCATATATGATTTTCAATGGTATTTTGAGATACTTATGTCACATGATTAACAGCTCGGCGACTTTTTGCAATAACATGTTAATATTTTCCGTTGCTTAACTCTCTTTAATAAATCCTGACCGAAAGTAATTTACAAGAAGGGAATTATGGCTGAGTTGCAGGCAGATACTTTAAGAATTTGTTATAAGCTTAAAACTGTTTGTTATAAGCGACATCTTGTGTCCAGGCGAAACCAAGGACTAGCAACTTTAATGAAGATACGGAGAAGTTAGAAGTTATCAGAGGACCGCTTTTTAGTGGTAATGCCGTGTCTCAATTTAGAAACATTTGAAAACGTAGCAATTCACGTTCGACAGATTATGAGTGAAACAAAGGGGCAGTTAGTCTCAAGCAATTTAGCGGGTATTGAAGGAAAAAGAAAGATAAAAGAAGATACCTCTTAAATAGTTACATTATATTTTTATGCAAGGAAATTGTGCTTACCAATAGTAGCATGTTCCTTATCCTTTTCCACCTAAACTGTAAACTCTCCTTTGCACAGGTGCAATAAAATTAAGTTTTTGCCAATGTTACTTGTTTAATATTTATTTAGCATTTTTGTTTTATATTTATTGATTTCCATTAGTTTAGGATTATACACTAAATCACGAAAGTACTGTTGTAAAGTTTAAATAAGCAATCATCTGCGGTTCAGGAAGGAATTATTTCATTTCACATGAAATTCTTATGGTAAAATTGTTTTGTTTTACGAAAATTTCAGTTGACTAAAAGCCTTCAGTAATGAAAAATTCATGAACCGAGTTTTCACTGTATCAGTATTCTATGAGCATAATCGACACATTTATGATACGAGAAAATATAAAAGTTATGTTTTCCCGTCAAAGATTTATGTGACCAATAAAAATTCTATACGAATCAAGGGGACTTATTTATCCTCATATTTGGTATTGCTTACAGTTATAATAATATTATGTTGGTTAAGCGGAATTACTATTTTAACATCTATTGCCGTTTTCAATGCTTATACCAATTCAGTGGATAAGCAAGCACAAAGGATAACGTTATTCTTACTACAAATGATCGCATATTATAAGATTCTTACTTTTTAATTCAAAGGCCATTCAACAGAAAATATCACGAGGATTGTAACCCATGTGTAATATTCGTCCATGTGCTTAACTGCTTCTTTAAAATATGTTGCTTTTTGCTTTCTCTTAAAAAAATCCATTTGATATGGAATACTTATTGCAATTAAAAGTGGCATAAACTGAAGTACACATTTACTTGTATAAAAATGTTTTTCAGCTCTCCTGTAATTTCATTGCTTTGGATCTTAAACATTAAGATAATTTAAGATTTAAAGACACATTTTATGTGAATTTAAATAATCGTAAGAGAAGAAATGTGAGAACAAATGCATTTATAACATTGTGTATTTCCATGTGAAGGATTTGTAAAAAATAGAAAATATTCATATTATTCATAAATGCGAATTTTTGGTGTAATAAATTCTTTTCTACTATCAAAAATTCTTTACTAAATAATTATACTGTTTCTGTATTATGAAACTAACTTTTCAGTTTAGAATTATTCGAAGCGAAACTCTTTCAGTTGAACTTACCTTTCAAATAACAAACCTGTGGTGATGATATTGAAAATTAGTCTCAAACATTTCAGTGCTCTTCACAAAGACGACAGATTGCTTTTGCTTTGTAACAACATGTTGTTCAGTAACTGTTCTTTGATCCTCAAAGACGCTTCCGCCTTCTCTCGAATTATGATATATTTTCGGAGATGAGTTTAACATCCATAAACATGGAACAAAATTTTTCATCTCGGAAACTTTTATTCGCTTTAGAAGACCAGGATATTAAAATACAGCATTTCTTTTCGTATATAATGTATCTTATTTTCAGATCTGTCTGATATCTTTAAAAATTGCTTTACTCCATCAAGAAAATTCTTCTTCGGAAGATTTTTTTCCTTCATTCTTGCAATCAAAATGATTCAACGAAGTGAAATGAATAACAGGATGCATTTATTGTATTCCTTCTCTTTTTATGATTAACGTTCATAGAAAATAACTGCCCTCTTGCGAAATTGATTATTGTTTACATAAAAATCGGAATTTAATCATAATTGAAAAGTATGATATTCTTTTAACAATCAACATAGCATTTTAATCATAATCGTAAAGTATGATATTCTTTTAGCATTTAACGTAGCACTTTTTAATCTATATTATCAAGTTACTAGGTTTTTGAGCAGATTTAACTAGCTGCAAGTAAAGAAATGTAGATATTGTGAAGGGTGTTATTAAGTGCAATAAAATGAAAACCCCTATACAAAAATTTATAAAAGAGATTTTTCAATACAGCATTTCTCCTTTTATTTTCTTTTGTACATCTTTTTCCACACCAAAACCCTTCATGTGACTACTTTGATAAGTTAAAACGTCTTTGAAGCTCTCAACGGATGAAACTCTCAACGGATCAAAAATTGTATGTATTCACGTATTGTTCACGAATATTTACATACCATTTATCAGTCAGAGCATTTTTAATGAGCATGATAGATCCTAATCATTTGAGCTATATAAAGAGAATGACGTTGAATCTTAAAGATTGTAGAGACATTAGGTGTTTTCTGGAAGCAGGCAAGATGCGAAATATGCAACGCTTTCGCCGGGAATCGAAACACGGAACTCTGGAATACGCGACCAGACTGCAGACCACCACGCCACGAAGGCATGCCAAGAAGGCGGGAGAAATACCTTATATACTCCCCCTTTTAAAGGGCGACTGGGGTGTTTAGGGGACCCAATCGCCAAATCCTGGAAGTGGAAAATCATCATCCAACACCCTTTTAGTTCGGGCGCCACTGTAGAGACATTAGGTACTTTTTGAAAGCAGACAAGATGAAAAATATGCAACGCTTTCACCGAGAATCGAACCACGGACCATTGGAATAGGCGCCTAGCGTGCAGACTACCGCACCATGAAGACATGCCAAGAAGGCTGAAGAAATAACTTATAAGGCATTTATAAATATAACTGAACATATTTAAGTGAGACAGTGTCTTGGATTTGTAAACCAGGTCTCATACTTTCAATAAAACATCTTAGAGATGTGCTCCATGACAGTCGAGGAGTGGCGGTCATTTCCCAGGTACTCTTGATATGACGTGATGCAGAGTGTCCTTCGTAAAATTTGTATCTCCTGATAAAGGATAACATTTTTAAGGCTGTTAGTTAATGTTAAGTAGGCTGATAGCGTAAAACTGAGTTTTCAAGTACATCCTTTAAAATATTTTGATGATCTGTGTACCAATAAAATTTTGTCTTAGTTCCATGACGTTTAGTAACGCAAATTGAATTTGTCGAAGATTACTGCAGCAAAAACGTTTTATGGAGGTAACTAAAACCTCAAGTTTCTATTCAAGCTTTGCTTAACTGTGATAAAATTGCGTTTCGTTAGGAGACTGCGAATATTACGCAGCGTTGTACTAAGTGTACCTTGGACATGACAGCAATTCAGTGATTGTTATACAAGAAAACTTTAAAACGTTGCAATTAAGAAGCGCGGCCTAGTTTATTAATCCAGAATGCTGACTTCCTTTGCCATGTTCAACTGTATTTATTGCATCATATAATTTTCAATGTTCCATGTACGTGTATATAAGCCTGTTTTAATAATTACAATTACCTTAAACATTGCGAAATTATCCATGTACGTGTATAAAAGCCATGCCATCCCTTGCGATATGTCAGGGTATCATCATAACATTTGAATTCATTTTCTGATACATTATAGAAACAGTGTGTTTCACAGCAGTGGAAAAGTATTCATGAAAACGAAAAAAATAGAATGGATATTTTTTAAAAATATCGATTTTTTTTATAATGTAGCGAAATGCAAAATCATGTGCAAACCTTTTTGCTGAATCATAAGTCATCACATTCAAACAACTTTATACCTAAATAAAGTAATCTGAATTATTTAATTACAAATTAAACTAAATTGGCAGCAGTGAGTTTTTACGCTTTAACTACATTTTTTTTTTTTTTTTTTTTTTTCATTCCAGATCTTGATTTTGGTTCAGACGCTTTCGGAAGGACGGAGCGTAGTTTCAGTGGTTCTCTAGTTGAACCTCCAGCGCGGCCTGAAATACTTTTTGAAGATGCTCATTTTCGTCCATACTTCGACAACACCACAGAAAGAAACGTTACTTCCCAGCTTTCCAAAACTGCTTATCTGCATTGCAGGATACGGCAATTAGGAGATCGAGTGGTAAGCCAATATGCAGTTTTTACTTTTTAGTTATTTTGTTAGTAAGTATACTCGCTACTGCACGAAATCAAACCCTTATAATAAATGATAGCAAAAACGATATCGATGAAATATACACTTTAATTTCACTGACGGAAGGCTCATGGTGTGTAATTTAACACCATCGATCTCAACTGTTTTTATTATTGTGTTTCCAAATAGCACATTGTGAGATAAAATTTTCCATGATTAAATAAACAAAATCAAATGTAGGTTTCCTGCATCAAAAATTAAAAACGAATGGAACTTAGCAAGTAGTTAAAAAGATGTATACATAAACTCTTTCTTAAATGTCTTCTGGCTGAAATATTACATTATAATCTCCATATTATGTTATTCAATTTTTTTTTTTTTTTTTTTTTTTACTTCCGTGTACGAAGTAAAAAAAAGAAAAACTAATGTAATCGCTAAAAGTTTGAGGCATCATATTTCAACGCAAATATCCATTTTCACCGCTATCGAATGCAATTTAACGATGTTTATAATATTACTTTCAATATTACATTATAACGTAATATTAATGTTATAGATTACATGTATAATACTACATTATCATCTCTATATTATGTTATTCAAAACTATTTTTTTACTTCCTTGTACAAAGTAAAAAAAAATAACGATGTTTTAACACTGTTTATAATATTACATTATAATGTAATATTACATTTTTTGCGTGACATCTGTACGTAAAAACAGGATAAAGGACTCTTTTCTCCCGAAAAAATTTTAAAACCAATTTAAAATGAATTCTGAAGAGAATTTTTCGTGGCGTCTGTGCGTACGTACGTACGTATGTGTCTCGCACAACTCAAAAACGACTAGCCTCAGAACGTTAAAATTTTGTATATAGGACTGCTATATACCATGTAGATGTGAACTTCATAGTTTAGTTGCGATCAGCCGCACCAAATAACTCTGTTACTCGGCTCAGTGATCTCACTTTCTTTATTCTTATATGTTTGTAAATTGTGCATTTTTTGCTTTAAAAATGATTGTATAATGCTGTTCTTATCTTCCGGTTAAGGTTTTTATACCTTTAGGAAATCTGTCTGCAGTATGTTTAGAATTAGCAACAATTTAAAAGTTGTTTAAGTCGCGCTAAGCCTAATAATTGTTTCCATGACGGTCATTGCTTGTTTACATTTCAAGGAGCAGAGTCGTAGATTTGTTCCCAACCTAGAGAAAGTAAGCTTCGCAATAACAAAGATAATTCCTTCTTTTATTATTACCAATTAAATCATGCTTAATTCATTCTGGAATTTATTCGAGGAAATAAGTGTTTAAGATTTACTTCGTTATTTTCAATACAGACATCTTGAGTTTTAATGTATTTTTGCTTTGTCGCGCAGTGAGAACTGAAATAATTGAATGAGAAATACTGAATCGTCTGCGAAAAACTGTGTCTTTTTTATTTTGTTTGCTTAATTTCTTTTATACATCGTTTTAGATTTATTATAGTATTTGAATAGAACATGTGGCAACGATTCGATAATTCTTCAAATGATATAAATTTTGTGCATTATAATGGAGGAAATTTAACGCTGTTGTGTTAAGTGAACCTAGCGTCAGGATGTCGCTATGGTAAACAAATATGGTGAATTTTAAAGAGTGAATTTATTCTATTGTGGTTTATGCGCTATCGACGAAGTAGATTTAATTCAATCCAATAAGTTTAAATGAAATGCAAGAAAAAAATTGATATAATTTAATATTCCATACAAGGAAGTTATGTGGTGCACGCATCAGATTTTATTTTTTTACTTTCCATAAACAAAATCTAAATTTTTATCTTAGAAGACTGATATCTAAAATTGTCAAATGAGGAAAATCAATCGTATTAAAATGATACGTTCTACTTTAAAGAATTATCACATCCCTCTGTGGATGATGTTGTAGATTAAGTTATTACTACATGCAACTAACAACTGGATAATTCATGATTCGTAAACTCAGCGGGAGCATTTTATGGCTTTGAAATCCTGATTGTTTCTAAATTATTACGAAATTATGAAATTTATTCCTGTATTCTTTTTAGTTTATGTAATAAATGAACATCTGCACCACACTGCTTGCTCAATCAAAATTCTGTTGCAGTTTCTCTATTCAAATATGGAATAAACCCAGGGTACTAAACGCACAAGTACGTAAAAGTGGTGGATAAACCGAAAGCAAATTATTTATTGGCAGTTATAGGTTTTCCATCATTGTCCCTTCACGTCTAAGCCCTCATTATATATCCTGTGTTTGTTAATTTAATTTGGTCTTATATTTATGTGCATCAAATTGAAAAGTCTGTGGTTTTGCAGTGTAGGATTCTCTTGTACCTGGTAAAATGCTAAGTAGTCGAATATTCTAGTTGATGCAAAACGAATTATTGCCATATCTTAACAATCTACAGAGATTTAAAGATTTAAACAAACCTTTTTATTTGAACAGAGCTTTGAACATAAGTGCACGTTCATGTTCTAACAGTAACTATATAGAGAAACTAAAATAGAGAAAATTCGGAGAAATAGTAACTTTAAAATGACCACACAGAATATATGTAATAACTTGCTGATATCAGTTTGGTCAAAGACAGGATTCTGGATTTTCATCCATTACGTTTTATCTTTCTTCTCTAAAAAGAACATGAAGTTTTATCATTTGATTCATCTTTTTTCCAGAATCTGATCATGAAACCGTTTGTGGGTTGACCAGAGTTGGTTTTCCGTCAGCTGAACTGTTTTTCTTCAGTGTGAAATTTTATGAGAATTTTATTACGAAGTTATATTTTCATGGAATAAACTCTGGGCGATAAAAGTCCAATATACCGTTGCAAAAATAACACAGTTATGGCTTTTAAAATAAGTTTGATGTTTAAAATGTTTGTTAATGTGATTCACGCTTTAATGAATGATATACTCAGCATTTTATATGTTTATTTATTTATACTTTAATTTATTTATATATTTTTCAAAAGTTTTGAAAAATATATTTATTAAGATCTTTCCAAATTTTGAAGTAGTTTAAATTTAAATAATAATGATTATTTCGAGTGAATTGCGATTCCTTTTAACTAATTTCTGCCTGTTCAAATGTTCTTTTTATAACATTGTTCTTTACGTAAATAAGATGTCGTTTAACGATCTGTCAGTGGAAATAATTGCCGTAAAATACATTCTTATTCGCTAGATTAGAAAGAAAATGCAAATTCACTTTTTGTCCACTTCCTTTGCAAAATCATAGCGATAGATTGATTAAAAAAAGCGAGAGCTAGCTGCCAGAAAAGGAAATAAATACCTTCGGAAATTTAAAATTGATTAGTAGCCCGGTAGCAGATTAAATTACCTAACTAAGCCTTGTCTCAAAACATTTAACGGCGCTATTTAACTAGCAAAATGGCGCCATTAAAAGCACGTAACATAAAGTAATTACAGAAGATAGGACCTTATAATATTTTGCGAGGTTATAAATGCTTATTATAAAATATCACAAAATCAATATTAACTAGAATCTGATTCTAATTGTTACTCAAAATTTCCTCAACATTATGCAATATTCAGTTTAAAAGCAGACGACACATGTCAAAATGATGAATTCTTGGACCTTGTTCTTTGAAGCAACCGTGGACCCTCATCCGTAGCTTTACAGCAGAACTAAACACCATCAGTGTATAGAGCAAGACGAGGGATAATAGTTAGAGACGCCGAGGGCCCGGGTTTGAATCCCGGAAAAGAAATGGATATTTGTAAATGTTTAGTGTCTGTGTGACATGGAAATACTCTAAGAATGCAGTGGGAGTAAAGAGGTCGGTATTAGGGAAAGAGAGGGCTGTGAGACCCTCGCAACCGTCCCCGCCCACCCCCAGGGTGCTCTCCTTACAACCTGGGGACGGATTTGAGCTAAGTCGTACTGTCACCTATTGGTGCTCAAGGTTCTTGCCGACGACAGGCCCAGTCTTGCACTCCTTGCCACGATGGATTTCGTGGGCGTGTTCTACACCATAATATACCAAGACGATGTCAAATGCTATAGCAGAATCTACCAAGAAGATGCAAAAAGACAAAGGCTTTCGAGACAGATTCATATACAAAGAAGGATTATAACCATTGCAGTCTCCAATTATTACTACAGAGTTCTTTTTGGGGGTACACGTGAAATGGATTACATATCTAAATAATACATATTATTACAGTTTTTCTTTTCTGACACCAGTTGTTGCGTTTTTCTTTTCTGACATCAGTTGTTACGGGGTTCGTGAGGATTTGGAGTGAATAATGACGACACTACTTGATGAAGTATCGAGACACACTTTATTAGCCAGTATTGTCAGGACAGCTCCAAAACACGTTTTACAGTCGTCCATGAACTACTATAAACACGCTGACACGATCAGCAACACAGCCTTCAGGTTATCAGGCTATCACGGAGACAGCTTCACTGCAAAGCACCAGAGCTCCCGACTCTGCTCGGTTGTTCTTGGAACTCCACGTACTCTCGAGTCTCTCCACGCTACAACTCGCAATGCACCCGACGACACACAGAGCACGGCTCCCGACTTTTCGGTCCACTCGTTCCCGGATCTCAACACGCTCTCTCGACGATGCACTAACCGCGAGGCACAAAGATACTCCTTCGGTGCACTCGACGACCCACTCGACACTCGCTGGCCGGCTGTCAACTCGATCGTCTCCGCACGGACTACCTAGATGAGGCACTCGCCCTCTCGACGAGATACTCTAACTTGCCCTCTCGGTGAAGCACACTCTCGATACTAACTATCTCGCACTCGACGAGGCACACTCTCACTTGCCCTCTGGACGTGGCACTCACACTAACTGACTGCGGACCAACAGGGTTTGTATAGCTTTCGACTTGTGTTCGAGAACATTCTGGATAAACCGGTAAGAATTCGTTCCAGAAGGTTCTCCACTGGTCCATGGTATATTGCCAATTTTATCGCCAAATGTCGCCAAATG